AAAACTGGGGGAACGAAACCATTTTACACATAATAGGGGAGAACAATACATAAATTGGGGGAATAACACAAGAAACTTAACAACACACTACAACAGGTTTTTCAGTGGGCACTGGGCATCACTCCTTTAAAACACATCAAAAACCCCAATCCCACCCCTTTGCTTGTTGCTGTTCCCTTGTTTCATGCTCTTTATTCCATTTGGGATCAAGTGGCTGTCAGTTGTCCATTTGATTGTTCTCATGATGTTTTCTCCCCCAAAGCTGCATCCTGCTGCCTGCAGTAATTGCTGAGGAGCAGTGCCTGTGCTTGCAAGGCAGTGATTTTCTGAAATTGGACACTCTGCACAGCACTTACAGCTAATTCCACAGCATATCAATAAACAATGGCCACTGTGCTCATTATCCTCACCACAGTAACTTCTTATTTTACAGCTGGATACCTTTACTTGAATATTGATGCAAACTACCAAATCTGCACTGAAATCACTGCTAAGTTATTAAATCATGCTGCTTTGCCTTCAAGCATTGCAAATTACCAGAAATTAAATCATTTCAATGTAGTATTATCTGTCCAGGTATCAGCTCTGGATTTTTTCTGGGAGCAGGAACAGAAATCCCACCTTTGGAGATCAGTGGAACCAGGGTGTATTTTATGTGGCTGGACAGTTTTAAAGGAAACTAATTTAGTTGACTGAAACCCATCTTTATGAAATAGAAATGTTGAAATGAAAGGCAAGTGGGGTTTAAAATCCCAATATTTCCTCTCTCAGGCTGATATTTGGAGTGTTTTCTGTGCAGCAGAGGCAATCACAGCAGTGGGGAGATGAGCCCAGCACAATTTACAGACTTGTTCTGCTGATTACTTTGTCATAATAAAAATACAAGAGCTGCTTAAAACCTCAGTCTGGAGCTTCTGCAGGCTGCCAGCTTGGCCTCAATTGTGGCACATGGATTGCTGAATAATAATAAATAAGTCTGTTGTGAGAATTCCAATAATCCTCATGTAAACCCATATAAATCTCATAAGCCAGCTCCATTCAGTGGCTTCTGTACTCCATGTACAAGCACATGGCAATTTGTGGTTGATTATTTTCATTGCTTTATGCTGATCCTGAGAAAAATCTGGTTTTTTTCATAAGGAATGTTCCTTGTCTCTTCAGAATTGATTTTAGTTGTCTGTGCAGTGATACACAAATGAGATTGTGGCTTCTTCTAGGGCAAGAAGTCTTTTTGCATGTGGTTAAATGAAACTTCCTGAGTTGTCACTTTTTATGAATACTTTTTAAGAATTTAGGAATATTTTGGTGGGAGCTGGGCAGGCTGGGTGTAGAGTGAGGGCTGGGTGTGGAGCACTGCCTAGAACAGGTCACACTGGGCTGGTGGTTCATTTAATCCTGATGGAAAGCCTGTACTCAGCTTCTCTTTGTCTTGTATATTTGGATTATTTCTTAGCACTGTGCTCTGGTTCTGTGTCCTTGGGATTTAGGCTCAGCACAATTCAGCTCAGCTGATAATTCAGATTGCACGTGGGCAGAGCTGGGCTCTGTGATAGCAGCCCTTGGGGTGGACTGGAGCAGTAGATTTGGTTTTGGGGAGTGGAAAAGGTGCTTGGTGTCATTTCAAGAGTGAGCAGGAGGTTTGGAGGCAGGAATTTGGATATTGCTGAACTTGCAGCTGTCGCTCCTCTGAGCCCCTGGCAGGAGTTCAGGGCAGTGATGCTCCAGGATTGCAGCCAGGCTGGTCAAGGAAAACCCAAACTCTTGCCATGGGTCCATAACAGGATTTATTTCAAAGTCACAACTCAGCAGGGAAAGTGCTGTACTTAAAAAAATATATAGTTAATTTATATTCCTACAAGAAAGGTGGAGAGAGACTTTGGACAAGGGATGGAGGGACAGGACACAGGGAATGGCTCCCAGTGCCAGAGGGCAGGGCTGGATGGGATATTGGGAATTGGGAATTGTTCCCTGGGAGGGTGGGCAGGCCCTGGCACAGGGTGCCCACCCTGGATCCCTGGCAGTGCCCAAGGCCAGGCTGGGCAGGGCTGGGAGCAGCAGGGACAGTGGGAGGTGTCCCTGCCATGGCAGGGGTGGNCACTTTGAATTTCTCAAGATATTTCCTTTATTTCTTTTGGCTACTGCTGTGCCCAGGATTAATTTAAATATGGGGAAGTATTTGCTGTAAAACTGAAATTTTCAGTGACTCTGCCACTTTTTGATGTGCTCCTCCAATCAGCCCACCCTGCATCCTCTTGCTTGGTCTGTGGAATAAATAAACATTGATTTTCCCCAGCATTTGGAAATCTGCACTACTGGAATCTTGTTCAGCAATAACCACAGGATTTAACTGATCCTCCTGGGTGCACCTTTCTGCTCCAGAGCTGATGCTTTAAAATCTGCCAGCAGACCAAGAAAAAGCCCCATTGAGCAACTCTGGGGTTGAGGGTGACTCCTGGATGGTTCCTGGATGATATTGCTGGTGCTGGGCCATCCATCTCCCTGTGAGAGACACTTGGAACTGCTCCACAGGAGCTTTGTGTGGTGCTTGGTGGGTAATTGCAAATTCATGAGCTAATTTAATAGTGCTTGGATGGATTTTTGGCTTGTAAGACTGTTAGAAATAGTTCTGGTCACCAAATGTGACCTCTTGATCAAATGGGCCCAGAAATAACCTGACTGCTCACTGCTGCTAAAACTCTAAATCCCAGTTTGAGTGGAGCTTGTCATCCTGAGTTCATTTTAATTATTTCAAGTGGCTGACACCTATTGGTTCCCCAGGCAGTGGTTAATCATCCTCATTGATAAATTGGGAGTTTGGATTCTGTGGATGGACCAGGCTGGATGGACTTGGAGCAACCTGGGTTAAGGGGAGGTGTCAATAAATTCCCTTGCAACCCAAATTATTCCATAATTCTGTGATCTTAAAATGACCAGGCAAGGTAAATAAATGCACTTAGAGCTACCTGTCCAACCTTGTTGTTGCTGTTACTGCCCAGTTTTTGGCTGCACAGCTCTGAACATCCCAAGTTTTCCATGGAATTCCTAGGAGTTACATCTCAGTACCTGGCTGGATTCTTCTCAGAGATGGGTGAGAGATCTCAGTTTTGTGCTAAAGACAAAGGACCTTCCCTCCAGATATTTTTTCTATCCGAGCTTTTGTGTCCAAGCCTTTCTTTCCCTTCATCCTGCAGAGCTGTGGCTTTAGGAGTGTGGGTTTGGTGTGACAATAGGGTGGGTTTTTGCAGGGGGGGGCGTATGTGGCCCGAAGTTTAGAGTCCGACTAGCTGAGGGCGAAAGGCCGACGCCTCTCTGCAATTCCTGGCCAGTGCCCTTCGGCGTCTGAGGGCCTCGGGCTGTGCTGGCTGCGGACTGGCTCACACTCGGGCTGTGCTGGCTGCGGCTGGGATTGGGGAGGAACAGAGCTGACCATTTCCCGGGGGTTAAACATCGGTTTATTGAAGGTGTTGTGGGATCCAAACGCGGGGAAACCAACCCGGAAGAAGTTTCTCCACAGGGGGTGAAACAGGATTATAAAGGAGGGGTGCAGAGGGGGGCATATGTGGCCCGAAGTTTAGAGTCCGGCTGCTGAGGGCGAAAGGCCGACGCCCCTCTGCAATTCCTGGCCAGCTCCCTTCGGCGTCTGATGGCCTCGGGCTGTGCTGGCTGCGGACTGGCTTACCCCGCTGGTATTGGGGAGGAATGGAGTTGACTATTTCTCGGGGGTTAAACATCGGTTTATTGAAGGTGTTGCGGGATCCAAACGCGGGGAAACCAACCGGGAAAAAGTTTTTTCATAGGGGGTGAAACAGGATTATAAAGGAGGGGGGGTGGGTACAGGCGGAACCAATCGGGAAAGGTGANTCCTCTATGGAATGTTCTTCTGGGAATGTTCCTCTGGAAACATGAGCAGGAGCTCCATGTTTCAAATCAGACCTGGTTTTCCATAAAACAGGAAATTTTAGGACATTTTTTAGTCCTTGTGGCAGCTTTGCCAAGGCAGCTCTTTCCTCCTCTTGCAGGAAGCAGCCAACATGCTACGTCTGATCCAGAACAGGCTGAAGGAGGAGGAGCAGCACCTGCTCAAGAGTGGAGGTGAGTGGCATTTCCTTCAGCTCTCGTGGTGCCCGAGGAGTTGCTGAGTGCTGGCTGCTCCGGGTGGAAGTGTCCACTTCCAAGGGGATGTGGGGTGATGGCAGAGTCAGCAGGAAGGGGCAGAACAAGTGGAGTTGTCACAACTTTAAAGGACAGCAGTGAAATTTTCCTCTGGGGAATGTTCCTCTATGGAATGTTCTTCTGGGAATGTTCCTCTATGGAATGTCCCTCTGTGAGATGTTCCTCTGGGGAATGTTTCTTGGGGAAATGTTCTTCTGGGAATGTTCTTGGGGACGTTCCTCTGTGGGATGTTCCTGTGGGGAATGCTCCTCTGGGAAATGATCTGTGGAATGTTCCTCTGGGTAATGTTCTTCTGTGAGATGTTCCTCTATGGAATGCTCCTCTGGGAACGTTCATATAGGAATGTTCTGTGGAATGTTCCTTTGTGGAGTGCTCCTCTGTGGGATGTTCCTCTGTGGGATGTTCCCCATGGAATGTTCCTCTGTGAGATACTCCTCTATGGAATGTTCTTCTGGTAAATGTTCCTCTGGGGAAATGTTCCTCTGGGAATGTTCATATAGGAATGTTCTGGGGAATGTTCCTTTGTGGAGTGCTCCTCTGGGGAAATGTTCCTCTGTGGGATGTTCCTCTATGGAATGTTCCTCTGGGAACATTTTGAGTATTCTTCTGGGAATATTCCTCTGTGGAATGTTCTTATGGGAATGTTCCTCTGGGGAATGTTCTTACGGGAATGTTCCTCTGGGAAATGTTTTGGGAGATGTTCCTCTGTGGGATGTTCCTCTGGGGAATGTTCCCCTGTGGAATGTTCCNGGGACAGTGGGAGGTGTCCCTGCCATGGCAGGGGTGGCACTGGATGGGCTTTGAGGTCTTTTCCAAGCCAGGCCATTCCAGGACATGCTGGGCGTTCAGGTGATAAATTTCTATTTCCATTTGGCTGGAAAGGCAATCCAGGCTTTTTAAAGGCACAGGGGAGGATTTGTTCCCCCTGTCCCATCCCACCCTGCTCTCTGGCAGGGGGAAGCTGCAGCTCCCTGCTCAGCTGGCACCTCGTGCTCAGGAAATCCCACACAGGAGCAGGAAGCACAAATGGGCTTGGAATGGGAAAGCTTTGGCCAAGAAATCCCTGTAGCATCCTCAGCTTGTCCCAGTGCTGCTGCCTGACAGGAATGACAAAGCCTCAAAGGGAGAAATTGCAGCTAAAAATAAAATAAATAACCAAGAGCAAAGGGAGAAACTCCACAAAATAAGAATTAGAGTATTTTAGTAGCTGTAAGAGCCATCACAGATATGATAAATTCATTCTTTAATATATTGAGCACAAACTTGAATCCTTTCTGGAAGCTCCACATGGCTCCTCCCAAGGAGTTTGCCCATGCAGGGCTGAACAAAACCTGAGTTTCCTAAATGCCAGGCAAACAGAAGCAGCATCCAGCTCACACAGCAGTGAGTGATTCCCTCACTTGCCAAAGAAGAGAGTGCAAATAGAAATTGTAGCTAACTCTGCTGGAGCCTTGTAATCTTACCAGGCTGGCAGATACTCCCCTTGCCATTATTATTTTCTCATTAACTTAATATTGCAGTGAAAAAGAAGATGGGGAAATGTCAAATATTTGTATATTGTCTGATAATTAAATACTGCAAAGATGTGTCAGCTCATTACTAATCCTAATTAAAGTAGTTATTTCCATTTTCAGCTTGGACATGTGTGTAATTAAATGTACCTGGGAAAGAATTGCCTATTTTCTCTAAATAATCAGCAGCAAATGTTGCTGTGCTGGGTCCTCCCATGGGGTCCTGTTGGGTTTCCTGGACTGGGAGCTCTGCTTTGGATGGGGAGAAGGAAACAAAGGCAGATGATGAAATATCTGAAGGAGTTCCTGGTCTTTGGAAGCTTCCCTGTCTCTCCAGCATCTTGGGGTTGGCTGGAGCTGCATTCCTTTATCTGGGGATATGGAACTGTGCTTATCTAGAATTAAATAAAAGGCAAATAGTCCCAGGAGATGAGTTTTGACATTGCTGGTGTCAGGGTAAAACCTGGATAATAAACACACACTTGCAAATGCTTTTCAGAGAGTTTTATCTTTGAATCACTTGCTGAAGTAGCAGCTGCTCCTCATGCCCAGAGGGGATGTTTGAACAGCCTGGGATTGTCCCAGGGCTCCTGTTTCCTGTGGGTGCTGCCCTGGCTCTCCCTTGCTGAAGGATTTCTCCTCAGGATGTGGAGATTGGCCATTTCCCTGGGCAGGAATTCTCAATTCCTCTCGGGCTTGAGCAAAGGTAGAACTGCTGCTGTCTCCTGTATCCACCTGGGCTGGGGTTGCTGTGGGTGGTTTTAACCAGCTGCCTCTGTTTTGCACCAGGTAATGACGACTCTGACATAGAAATCCAGGAGGATGAAGGCTCTGACAGCGAGGGGGATTTGCAGATCACGAGGCACCACATCAGCACAGAACCTCTGCTGCCAGGTACCCTCACCCCTCCTGAGCTGCCCTGAGCCACGGGCATGGGCTGCAAATGTGACAAGCCCCTGTCACCCTTCAGGGTCTTGGCACTGCTCAGCCCTCAGGAGCTGCAGGGTTAAAGCCCTGTGGGAACAACAGTGCTTCCAGGGCAGCAAATGCAGGATTATTTACTGGGAAAAACAATGGCTGTGTGGGGAAAATCCTGCCTTGGTATTGCCCTCCACATTCCTGAAGCAGTTCTGTGCAAAGCCTTAGGGAGGCAACCCCATTTCTCTCTGCAAAACATTTATTTCCCTGTAGCTCTGGCACCTGTTTTAGCTGGGAGACCTTCAGTGAGTCACTAAAGCCACCTGCACTGCCTTGGCACAGGTGAGCACACCTGAGCTGCTGCTCCAGGGAGAGATTCTGTCCTTCTGTCCTTCTGTCCTGCTTCCTGGGCAGTGCAACTGCAGCTCTGCTCACAGGAATTGCTGGGTGAGGGTCTGTGGCTCACCCATGTGGGAAAAGAAATGTTCTGCTCAGTCTGGAGTGGAGCAAAACCCAGGCAGGAAATCAGAATAGTTGTGTTTGTTAGCAGTGAGGGATTGTGAGCTGTGAGCACAAACCTCTCTGGGCCCTGCAGGAGGTGCCTGGGTGGGGTTTCATGTGCCACCACTCCTCTGGAAGCTGTTCCTGAGATAAACTGCAGACATCTGGGGTTTTGTGAGTGCAATTCTGCTTTCCCCTCTCTGACTGACACCAGGGACAGAAGCTGACATTCTCAAATCAGTGTAATTTAAGCATTTTTATCCTCTCTTCCTCTGTTTTTCTTGAAAATTGAAGTCCTGTTAAGTTCTAGGAACACTGATATTCTCTAAGGAATATTTTACCTTGGCATTTCTCAAGGAAAGGTTTGTACACAGGTTTTAGAGCTTTGGAAGTGACCCTGTGGCTGTCTGTGATGCTTCATCTCAGAGAACACCATAACCTGAGTCCCTGCTGCCACTAAGAGCAGTTTTAGAGTTTTACTCTAAAAGTTATAGATTTTGCTGCCAGTAGATTCTTTTTTTTCTAGGAAGACCTTTGTTATCATTAATTACCCTTAATGGAAACTCAGTTCATCAGACTTTAAGACCTGAGATAAATGTCAGAAGCAGCAGCAGCTTCTTTAGAAAACCAGGGTTGAATGTTTGCTATTAAACACACCACAAATCTGCTGGTATTCAGCAATTTGCATTTAAGATGCACTTAATGATCAAGGCAGCATAACAAGAACATTATTTCTATTAATTGCTGCTTTTTAAATTGACTCAATTTAAGATATTTCCATCACTTTCTTTCGAAGCTTTGTGTTTTCTTACATGGTGATGCTGCTGAGCCACGTTTGCTCTCAAGCTGAGCAGAAAGAGCCCACTGTGCTCAGTCCCTGTGCCTCCTGGGGTGCACTTTTATATCTGTTTTACATTCCAATTTCCATCTTTTACATCTCTAATTCCCAAGTTATCAGTGCTGGGAGATAAGGCTTCCTGCCTCTCTGTGTGGTGGGCAGATACTCCAGTGTGTGTTGCCATTATAGAGGCAGGATTCTCAGGGAGAGATAATCCCTCTTTTTAGGCCACTTGGGATAATTGAGAAAAATCAGCACACTCACCCTCAAGAGCCCTTTCATCAGCTCTGTCTAGATGCAGCAAAACTCAAACTAAATGCAGGCTTGACAATATTGCTCCTGGATTTATTCTTTCAGCCATTTAAAACACTTGGATTATAGGATTTGGTTTCCCCTGGAGCAGCAAAGAGGGAGCTGGGGGAGATTTGTGGGGTGCAGAGAGAAAATCAACTCTTCCCCACCCACAGAGAGGAACAGGCAGGAGCAGCTGAAGAGGGAAACTGAAAATGGGCTCAGGAGCTGTGACCTCAGTGCTGCTGGGTCAGCAAACGTGGCAAAACCTGGATTAGGGAAGCAGGAAGGGCTCTGGTCCAGGGGGGAGCAGGGAGGGGAGAGCCCCTGGCTGGGGGAGGCTGCAGCTGCTTTGTTGTCACAGTGTCACCCTGACAGGAAATCCCCTCCCTAAGGGGGGTTTTGTGGTAAACCCACGTGTCACTGATAATTTGCTTTTGTAGATTAGAGATTACACTGATTTATCACAG